GTTAGCCAGACCTATACGCAAACTGAAGCCCCACAGTCTGCTTTCCCGAAAGCAAGTACTCCTGAGAGCTTATCCTCAAGCCACTGACACAAGGACTAGTGACCAGCCGATTGACACCCATGAGGACGACTAAGGAGCCTCCCGTTTAGCTGAAGCAGAAGCCAAAGCAGTGTGTTGGGGACAGTACCTCGCCCCTCCTTTCCAACAACACGGGTCTCCACGCACGGCAAACACGTGGGCAGTTTTCTCGACACTCGAAAACTGGAGACAAGAGCTTTTCCAGTTTCTCGTGACAAGCCCCAACTTCCAAAGAGAAAAGCCGCAAGGGAGAATGCAAAGAAAAAATTTATCAGTTCAAAGGAGAGGAGATGGAAGACAGGATAGATCATCGGGGCTCCAGGATCGTGACACCTGTCTCACTAAGAAGGTGAAGGGCTAGGGTACCCCGGGATTGCCACACCCGTACTCACAAAAGTGAGCCCCTGAGGGGTGTGATGCACCATGAGACCAGCGACTAAAGAAACGTTGTTCTGCTAACCTTTTCCTTCTTTTATCACACACTGATGAAGTTAAGCCTGAATTATTTGAGTTATTCATTGATTATACTTATGCATATTTATGCACATGCTTAACACTTATCTGATTCCGGAATAAATAATTTCCCATATATAATTAAGGGCCAGCATTAGACATTTTACTACCCAGTGCAGTCTGTGTGCGTCCTAAATTTCGCTATGAAGTGCCTCCTTAAGTTGTAAAAATTTTGCATCCTAGCGCTTTCCCTTCAAAATTTTACCATCCCTTAACCCTCCCGCTGCGCATCCCATGATTTCCATGGGGATGAATTTTTGCCGTCTATTTAACTGTGCAATTTGCTCTTTTCCCATTCAAGGTTTCCTTTTGGCTTTTCTGTGAAGTTTAATTGTTTATTTAGATGTGGGCTAACAGATGGTATTAGCTGGCCACACTGTCAAATATACAAGAATACATAATGTAGCATTTTGCGCGCGTTTTTTCAGAGATCAAATGTGTCTGGCACGAAGCGTTTTGCAAGTGATATAACCTGTATTGCTGATAATATTTGCGACACTGATAGTAGTTTTGACTCTGATTTCAAGTATATTGAAGATAGTTACAGCGAAACTGATGAGAATTTCTCGGATTCCTCTGCAGATAGTGATGAATCTGAAAATTCAGTTTCTATTGAAAACGTTCTACAGTGGTGCAAAACTGATATGCAAAATATTACATTATGCAAACATTTTCATTAGTATATATGTTTTACCTTTGTATTTTATAAAATAAATCATAATTTAACCAATATTAATTTTCAAAATTTTCCTTTTATATAATTATTCTTCAATTTCCGTATTCTGACAACCTTTTCCTATGATCTAAACTCTATATTGGGGGGAAAAAAAAAAAAAAAAAAAAAAAAAAAAAAAAAAAGCTGCTTTACAAAAAATGTTTGTAAATTTTAACTCTAAAATATATGTAGATTTGAAATATGTAATAAAACATATGCAATTTTTGAACCTATTTTGATAATAAAAGTACGCAGTGAGAGGGTTAATTTTGTTGCTGAGTACTTCTCTAAATTCTAAACATTTTGCCTTCCCTAAATTCTGCTGCACCAGCTCTAGCACTGGTCTTGGGCTTAACTGAACAACAAATCAGTTATTCTCAATTTAAACAGCAGTAAATATCATATTTTGGTCTATCAGTATCATTTACAACTGTTAAATTTCTCCTCATCCGCAAGCTCCATTTTGCAGCAGAATTTATCTGAAGTCTGGAATCATCGTCAAGTGTAATGCTAATATAAAAGATTACCACGATCTTTGGTATATAATTACTAATATTTAAAATAAAGTTTAGACATTTGTATAAGTCATTTTTCAGGCTGCAGTGTGTTGATAGTCATGCAGTGGCAAAAGTTAAAAATAAATAATGATTCGCCAGGTTGGTGTCAGTGCTGAAGAATCGGGATTCTCCACATTTTATTATGAAAAAATAACATATGTGCAAAATTAAACAGGTTGCTAGTGAAAGCCTGGATATTTGGAGGTCCAGATTTCGGACTATGTACCGTCTATGAAAATATATCACTTATATATGCTAATTTTGCAACCATTCTACACCATACAAATGTATTAAAGGATTCTTTTCTCGGTTAAAAATATTTCCACTCAATTCAGAAAGCCTGCTTAAAATCTTGCCTTGTGAGAGCCATCTAACTTCTGTATGCAATAATAATAGTAATAATTTTTTATGTTCTGCATCAATGTCATGAGAAAATATTGTGAGTAACCAACCTACTGTATGAATTGCTATTTAAAAAAAATTAAGAATTTTTATGAAGTCTGCTAAAATCTCATTTAATTTTGTGGATAGATTTTGTGCTGCTAAGTGTTGCATGAGGATTATATTGTGGGTATTAGTAAAAGAATTGGCTACTTGCTGAATTCTTTTAGCAACACCACAATGTGTACTAACCATATTAGCCATTCCATCGGTACTTACATCTACGCAGTTTTTCCATTTTAAAGAGTGTTCAATAACATAAGAATTAAGCATGTTAAAAATTTTATCACTTATTTTGTATGAAACCAATTCTATACAACACAATAATTTTTCTTTTATGCCATCCAAAATAAAATCAATATATCTGAATAAACAAAGTAAGATAACCTTTTTAGAATGCATGATTCATCATTTGTATTGCAAAAAATTTTTATTCCCTTATCTTGTGCATTTAAATGATTTTAGAAATAATGCATGATTCATCAATTTCTATTGCAAAAAAAGTTTTATTTTTTTATATTGTGTATTTAACTGATATTCCACGTTCTCTGACATTTTTTTTTTTCAAAGTATCATTAAATAAAGGAATCAATTTGATTTTATCAGCAGCCAAGAACCCAAACATTTCTAAACAAATGTCTCAAAAACTGCTTTTATTTCCTCTAGCGCTACATTATTTTTTTAGTTTTAACAATCCTAAGTGTGAATAGGTATCACCATTTTAGTAGTGACTTATTCTGAACAAAGTTTAGTTTAAATGTTTTTATTTGTAATTCTAATTCCTGTTCCCCCCTCAAAATATGCAGTTTTTTTTTTTTTTTTCCCAGCTCAGAATTAAGACTTCAAATATCATATTATTTTTTATGGTTTCATAGCATCATTTGTAAAAATATAAAGGCAAATGATACACGTTGGACATCTGCTGATTTGGGCCAAAGAATAAATGTATATTTTAAATATTCATGGTTGTAGTGTCTGGTAAAAAGTGGTTGGTGTTCTTTTTTCTCCTGATGGAGATCTAAGTTTTATTTCACTGTCATTTTCTTGAGACATTAAAATGGTATTCAAAAACTTTATTAGTGTGCTTTGTTTACAGTTCGTGTTATTAAGGGCTAAAAAACACTTTCCCCCTTAGTGCCTATATAAGTATTAAAAATGATCAATAAACTTACTTTTACATTTGCCAAAATGAACTCATTTACTGCAGACCCTCAATACACACACTACAATTTAACACTGAGTGAAATATACAGCATATAAAACTAGCGTTTGGGGAGCTCAACATCATAAACCTGCCGGCTTTAAAGTGCATGAGCACAGACTTTGGAAAGCAAAGCACTCTGCAGAGAAGATACCTCAGAACGTTCTCCAAAATGTTTGCAATTGATGACTGCTTCCTTTACACAGTTCGGTGCAATTTGCTTTTCTGCACAGTAGAATTATTGCAACGTTTCCTCTGCAGTGAGCACTCTCCAGTGTGGCTACAGCCGAAAACATCGCGGCAAAAACACCGCGAACGAAAACGTCGCGGAGAAAACAACGTTAGGCGAAAACGTCGTGCTACAAAACATCGTTGTTGAAAATAAAGAGGTTAAAAAACTTCGCAGTTTAAAAATATCGTGGTAAAAAATAAAGTATCTACACATGATCGTATGATGATAACATCGCAGACACGCCTTTTTTCAGGCTTTAATAACTGTAAATGGATATTCCCATAATGATTTGTGAGCGCAAGGTGGAAAAAAGGATAATTTTTACTTTCATATTTTTTATTAACTAATAAAAATTTGCCAATAAAGTTTTTTATTTTTTACAGAAGCAATTTTGTTTATAGATAACGTCATGTAGTTACTTGCCTTTCTTTTTCTAATCTTTTTTAGATTGTACGATTTATTAATGGCCTTTGTTAGTTAACTATGTCGGTTTAAAATTCTATTAAGTGCTACAGGTTGCATTAATTTTTATGCTTAAGTTTCCTTCTTACTCTATCAGCAAAAATTTACTAGTTAATAAAAATATGAAAGTAAAAATTATCCTTCTTTCCATCTTGCGCACACAAATCATTATGGGAATATCCATTTACAGTTATTAAAGCTTGAAAAAAGCGTATCTGCAATGTTATCGCCATGGGATCATTTGTAGATAATTTATTTTTTACTACGATATTTTCGACGGAGATTGTTTTAAACTGCGAAGTTTTTGAACCGCTTTATTTTCGACGACGATATTTTGCACCACGATGTTTTAGAAGTGCGATATTTTCTCCTACGACGTTTCCGCCTTGCGTTGTTTTCTCCGCGGTTATTGCCAGACACCCTCCAGTGTTGCCTACCTTCAAAGACAAAATTATGGATTCTAGATACTAAAACCATGGAATTAATGTAAAAAATATCATACATATTATTTATATTGTATTTTATTATTTTTTTAATAAGAAATTTTTTAACAATGAGAGGTAAAAATCTCAGAGGACAAGTCAAATTTTTCAACAGACTGGTGCTGGTCCAAAATATCAGCGGTTGAGAATCCCTGATGTAGGCCATGTTCTTCGTCATTAAATTAGAGAATTTATACTTGTTACTGATATTAATCATTACGTTTAGTATTGATACAAAGATATGGAAAAAACATATGAACCAAAAATTTTTTATAATGCTTTAACAGCAAAGTACTTCAAAATTAAATTATATTCATACCTTAACACCAACACTGCCATTTGGTAATTCATGAACAGTGAATGGTAAATATGACAGTTCATACTGTAATGTAGGATCTCTAAATTTTTTCCCAATAAGACGCTTAAAACTACAGATTGTGCTCTTCAGATTTGTAATAAATTTATTTTTTGCAGATGTTCCTAAATCTCTGCAAGTAGGACCAAAAGCAACATATGACCTGAAAGTAAATAATTTGACAAAATAAAAACACAAAATAAGTTGCATATATTTCACAATAAAATGCTTATTAACCCATTAACCGCTGGTGTTGCATTGACGCAACGGTCTAAATAAATGCGTATATAAATATAACTACCTAAGATATTTTATACCAGCCGATGACTTTGTGTAGAGAATATTATGAAGATTATTTCTGTAAAAAAATATTTGCCTTCAACAATCATTTTGTTTATAATAATTAATCTCATACTTTAGGCAAAATTTAAGCAAAATTTTCGACCGAGTATTTTTGCTGAAAATACTTAACGAAAGGATCGCAGTCTTTATGAGTGATCTATTTTTAGTCAAGGTCACCGTTTATCAGAACATTACATCAATCAGATGTTTATATTTTTGTTGGGAAGGAAGGGAAAATAGGTGTTGCGTTGACGCAACTTCAGCAGGAAACGGGTAATCAATCTCCTTTTTCACTCATTCCTTTCGATGTCTTCGTGTTTTGGCTGCTTTAAAAATTCCTAGAACGAGGTATCTTACATTTGAAGAAGCTCTTCAAAGATTTTTTGATGAAGAAACAGATGATTATAATGTTAATAATGACCAGAATGAAACTGATATTGTTGTTTTTCCCCCAGAAACTGCAGAAGCTAGTGATGAAGAAGAATGACAATGTTTTAAATAATGATATTTTACCAAATGATACTGTTGGGGAAGTTGAAATTCACGTAAGAAGTAAGTTTCAGCTTTCTAAAAGCAGTTGTAGTCATACTAAAAAGTTTAAAAAGCAAAAGACTGAAAACTTGAAGTGGATAAAAAAGGAACTGTCAGTTATGTCTCAGGAAGAACATAAAGAAAGAGATAGAAGAGAAACTATAAAAGACAAAGAACAAGATAAAACTAGTGCACAGATTTTGGATTTTCTTTTAAGTTTAGACATTTACTCTCTTCTCGTTGAACAGACAAATATATATGCTCAGCAAAAAAAAAAAAAAAAAAAAAAAAAAAAAAAAAAAAACATGAGAAGATTTATTGGAATATTATTGCTCATGGGATATCATTATTTACCTCAAGAAAAAATGTATTGGCCTTTTCATAAGGACATTTCTGTTCCTGTTGTACGGGAATAGATATCATGTTTTTCAGTACAGGAATAAAGCAGAATTTGCATTTGACAATAGTCAAATTGAGAATACTGATAAATTATATGAGGTGAGACCATACCTAAACTTACTAAATATCACCACTTTTTACTGCTGGAAATATAAAGTCTCTTTTAGATTTCAGACGCGAGATTGCATTATTCCTTTTGCAAACTCCTATTGAATTAGACAGAAATAGATCAGCAACAGGAAGACCTAATAAATTCAGCATTCAAAAACCATTGCATGGAGATGGTAGACATTTTATCGTAAAGTCCGTTGATAACAAAAGACGTTGCTGTAAAGAGTGCCATAGCCAGACTGTTTATAAATACAAAGTAATATAGCTTTACATCATGATTGTAATCAAGCTTTTCATGCTTGAATCTTTCAATTGAAATAATCTGTATTTGTAAAAGAAATACAATGTATATTTTAATTTTAAATTAATTACAAGTAAAGTGATTTGTAGATTTATAAAGCGTTACACAGCTAAAAAGTAATCCTACGCTCCACTCGAAAGAAACATCACACGAGTACAATCCTACTCACTACACATCCGTAGTCTTATTCCGCTGACGTTGCGTGAACGCAACACTCGCTTTTTCCACAGGTAAGAGCATTTGTTTTATTTTCAATGTAAATTTATGTTATAAATGATTAATTTAAGATTTGCTATTATTTTCATGAGAAAAGAAACATTTCTTATAGTTTTGGCGGTTAATGAGTTAAAAATAAGGCACAAATCAAGCTTAGAATGTCATTAATACCAACGAGAAATTTAGATTTCAAGATATTTTATGTCTGCTTCCTTCAAAGTATTTTTAGCACAAGCTCAATTTCCCCTTAATTGACATATTTCACTTCCAAAAACAATTATCAGCAATAAATATTAATGTAAAATTATTCATAATTATCAACAATAATAGTAATCAGTAATAACACTAATGAAATACTACGAGTCAAATTGGTTACATTGTGAAGTGGAAAAAGTGCTTGGCTATCTTAATGGCTCACAGATATAGTCATGTTCATAAATAATAATAAAAAGCACCTTATAATAACAAACAGAAAATTTTATGAGGAAAAAATTCTATATACAATGTACTCTTGAGTTTCTGAGCTCAGCACAGAGAAGCAAGTCATGAATAATGAAAAAACATGGATAAACCAAACTATCAACTATGTATATTATACGTGTTTATTTCTTTAAAAAATATCAATTATCTTGCTTTGTTTTGGGGAACATTTAAATATTGGCAGAATATTATTGCATATATTTCAAAGGGCTATTTTATCATATTCAAATCCCCATTGGTCAACGAAATTCCCACAAAAGTCATTGCTGTTTTTGGACTAACGTAACTGTCAATATATCTTTACCTGTATTTCAGAATCACTCTATAATTCTTCTGTTCTTGCGACATTTGAAACGATATCCGCATCATTCAAGCACTGACAGCTCAGCTAAGTTCAATTGCTATCGCACCATGCCTCCAGGGCTGTGGAGTCACAGTCATGGAGTTGGGGAGATTTTGGGGTAAAAGGAGTCAGAGCTGGAGTCGCTAAAAACAGGTCGACTCCGACTCCAGTATTTGTTGGACAGTTTGAATTTGAAATGAAATTAAAATGAATTGAAAAAATTAATGACAAGCTGAGTCATTATTTTTATTTACAAACTGTCTACATTAATAAATAGTTATTTTTTTATTTTACTGACATATTCATAAATAAATATAAGGATGGATGTGATATTTGCCAGAAAGACTGTGGAATGATCTTGCAGAATTGGAAACTCTTCTTTCTACACCGTATATAGCCACAAAAAAGCTGCAATCTGAAGAATTGGCAGGAGGCGAGAATGGAAGAATGGGATTGTTTGTTCTTTCTGAAATGGAGGGTTTATTGTAGAAGGAATCATCTAGACAATAAGATCTTGCTGGGTTCAATATATGGAGATCCGAAACGCTGAATTTTCTTGGATGAAGAATAAATTAAAAAGGCAAAGAAAGTCATCTATGAACTTTCACTAAGAATGAAATTATTCTTAAAACAATTCGAGAATTCGAATCAGGACAGTCAAACTGCAGACATTGCAGCTGAGTCTCTATCATCCTCTTCTAGTGATGAATTAGATTTTAAGAAATATTTTTGGATAATAGTGAAAAGGCTAAGGCAATGCAAATGAAAATAAAGAACCAAGAGCCTTTAGATATAAAAATGAAAAAATACAAACAAGATTTCTACACGGCCTTTGAAGAAATAGAGAAATATGATTGCGCTTGTAAGACACCTCTTTTAGAACTTATAAAAATCTATCCTGAAAAGTTAAAAGAAGTAGCTCTAACAGTGACAGCTCTTCCTCCTACTCAAGTTAGCGTGGAAACATTCTGTAATAATTTAGAGTGTAAATAACAAATTTATAAATATATGTAGATTTTCTTTTGCCAGCAGTGTCATATTTTTTTAAGAAGCATCTATTTTATCTCATACTGCAAACACGTCCTTAAGTTGTCCTTGCAAGGATATGTTTTGTTCGTTTAAAATGAGAAAAAACATCTGCCAGATATGTCAGCTTGGTTACCCACTCATCGTCGAACAAGAGTTCAAGAAATTCCAGATTATTTTGCTGCTGAAAAAATAATTTGATTTCTTCAGGCAAAACGAGGAGTTGAGTCAGTATTTTGCTCCTTGAAAGCCATCTCACCTCAGTGTGAAGAAAAAGATGAGTATATTGGGAACCCATTTCTCTCCAAAGTATTTTAAATATTCAAGAATTAAGTGCTTTATGCTGAATTTCATTTATGATTTTAATAGCATCTGATGATACTTAGTGTAGTTCTGAGGACATTTGTTTCACACACAAGATGCTCACGATGTATGATGCAGTGTGTAGAAAGTCTGGGTGACTAACATTCTTCACCTCTGCAACAACTCCTGAGCAATGTACAGTCATGTTTGGAGCGTCGTCTGTACATATCCCAATACATTTTTTTCATTCAATTCTGTATTCAAGGAAATTCTCAAAGCTCATTTCTCTAACTGGCAAGTTGAGCGAGCAAAATAGTTGTTCTTTAAATTTTTCTTCACACTTAACCCTCACGAAACAAAGGAGAAGTGCCTTGTTGCTTATGTCCATAGATTTATCAAGTTGAATTGAATAAAATGGTGAATTTTTTTGCCATTTTTATAACTTGACTTTCAATATTTTCATCCATTTCTTCAATTCTGTGCATAACAGTGTTAGTGGACAAAGGAATTACTTTCAATTTCTGTGCACTTATCCCCCCAAACCTCTTCACAGGCTTCCAACATACAAGACTTCAGTAATTCTTCTCCAATCATATATGACTTTTTATTTCTCGCAATTTGAAATGCTATTAGATAAGAAACCTTTAATAAGGACTTCTTCAACAATCATATTTTTTAACCCGTTCAGGACCAGCATCGTGTATACGCGACGCAGCAATTCCACCCTTAGCAGCCCAGCTTCGCGTATACGCGAAGAGTTCCGATCCATCTCTACCGCCCAGTGTCGCATATACATAACTTGGAAATAGAATGATTTATTTTAATTTTGAAATGACAGTAGCTGGTGCTAAATGGTAACAGTTTTTACAACGATTAAGTCATGTGGCTTTTGACCTTCATGTACGAGCATCAGTTTCTGTTCTATACTTCTGGTTTTGAAAGATTTTGGTGTAAACAAACTGGGAATCACAGGTCTTTAAGTTAAAGGGATGCTGGTGTTTGTTTATTGTTAAGAATTTCTTTCTATTTTTTTGTTAGGGGAATGTGGGCAAATGCATCTAGCTGACTATAGCGGGTGTAAAGTTGCCAAACTTCCATGATAGAAAAACTCATACCAGGTGTCCTTTTTTACATTTATTTTAAACAACATTTTACTATAGACCTTCTTGATTAATTAAAACGTAACTTTACAGCATTACTATAGAAGGGGAAAAGATATCAACTTTTCCGATGTGTGATGTATCTTATATGCTTGTCAAAAAAAGCCACCATAGTCCTGTGTGTCGATTCTTGTTTTGAATTATTCCACACACAGCAGAATTATTAAATTGCAATTTAATTACCTACAGATAATTATTGCTTTTTTTTTCATTTCATATTTGTAATTTTGTTTTCATATGTATACTATTTGATTTCATGCTTATAGTTATAATTTTACCATTTCAAATGTTTAATTTATTTCTATTAATGTGATATCCTTTATGTTAATATATATTAATAAATAGTACATTACGAACATAACTTCAAAAATTGAGGTCATTATATTAAAATGCTGATTTATATAATTTTTTTTGTAAAAGTAGGCTTAACTGCTGAAAATGCGGCGTTCCATTTCAGGGGGTTTGGCCCCAAGGCTGCGCTTCGTTCTTTACACGCTGGTTTTCAAGGGGTTAAAGCACCTAATTGTTTTTGCATATTTTTATGCATCCTTTTAAAATATTCAAGTAGTTTCTTGACTAAATCTGGGTGTTTAGAGTTTTGAAAGTTTCACAGCATCGTTAGATAAACTCTCAGAACAGATAATACAAAGAGGCCGTGGATCCAGCTCACTACCAGGTTCTGCAATAAATCCAAATTTTAAGTAGTTTGAATCATATTTTCCTGTTATTTTGGCTTTTCCCCCTCTTTTCCCCTCCAATTTGAATGTTCTTTCTAATGCTGTCTGGACATGACGAACACTGTGGATGCTGTGATTCATTGATTATCTCTTTATTAAGTGAAGTAATAGTATTTTCATTAGTTATTCTATCTTTAGTTTTACAAAAGAAATGCAAACTATTTGCTTACTTTTTCTCATTCATTATGGGTCTATTACCTATTTTATTTGAATAAGAAAAAAAAAAAAAAAAAAAAAAAAAAAACACTAATGAGTAAAAAATGTAAACATTTCCTCTTGTTTTTAAGTTGGGCTAACCTTTCACATGGATATGCAGAAAGTACAAAGAGACTTTATTAAACACAAAGAGTATTTAGGTTGCTAGTCCAGATGTTAAGCAATACAGTCAAAAGTCTTTAATCCGGAATGATCTACAATCCGGACCTCAAAGCTATAAACTTTCTGCGCATGCGTACATGCATTAATGCATGTACGCATGCACACAGTATGCTTACGCATGCGCGTTTAATGTATAACGGACGGTATAAGCTAAGCTAAAATTATCTAATTATCTATTTCAGTTAATGTTGCACATTGCAATGTTCCTTAATCTTCTAATTGGATCCGGCTTATTATTTTTTGCAGACTGTTAGAGCAATTTTATAAAAGTAAGCTTGAACTTTCGATTATGTCAAAAAGAATTTCCGATTCTGGAGCTGCCAAAGGATCGACAAAGCAAAAGCATGTTTTGATGTCCATCAAACAAAAAGTGGAATTGCTGCAAAAAACAGATAAAAGCATAACCTTTGTTTCTCTAACCATTCTGAAATCTGTTTATAAATTTCACGCTGATCTGCGGGGCGGAGGGGGAAATCCAGCAATGCTTATCCAGGAACCCTGCAATACAGAATCTGATATCCAAGCAACTGTAAGCTTAGATTTAATTTTAGAACTTCAACAACAGAATTGCGAGTATTGGAAAAGGTTCCTAAGGCTTTCAATGCACTGTGCGAGTCTGTATAAATTATGAACTTTTTCTGGCTTAGCTTTGATATGTAAATAAGCGCATAATATATGGCAGTAAGCTCAGATGTCAAAACAGCAAGTGTAGTGCAAGCGTCTGCCTTCCATGTGGTCATCCATAACAAATCCTGCTCCAACATGGCAAGCTGTTTTTGATCCATCTGTATACACGGCCACATGACAGCTATATTCATATTTGTGGTTTAAGAAGAGTTGTTGCTATACGATCTCGCAAGCGTTCTGCTTATTATAGCGCTGGAAAACATCAAGGAGCTTCATTTCCGTATCCTCCCAAGATGGGATTTCAAGATGATGTACTGCTTGGGTGGACATATCAGATATGGAATATTCCTCAATCAACAAACGAGCTCTTAAGGAAAAGGAAGGAACACAAGATGGTCGTGCTTGAAACAGAAGGTCACACATGTCATTAAGCAAACATAGCTTACTAGGATGGTCAGGTTGAGACAATATATTAAAATAATACCGAGCGATTCTAAGCTTTCTACCAGACCAAGATAATTGGACTTTTTAGGTTGGATTTTTTAAAATACACTTCCAACAAAATGTCTTTCATGCAAACTTCTACTCCCTCTTTCAATACAACCAAATAATCACTTTCCATTCACCATTTCTACCTCTATTTTACTTCCTTTTGCCAAACTTGCTCCACAAATAAACTAGCATGGTCAATCATTTCATTCTTTTTTACACATACATACACACACACTTATTCTTTCAGTCAACCAATTTTATTCAAACAGACATTCACCACCTTAATAAGCAGATTTGTTCCAGCTTCATATACCCACAAATAAGTAAAAATTAAAATATCAATTATACTCATCTTGCTTTCTTCGAAACATGTACCCTTCTTTACAGACCTCTTACAAAGATGAACCTTTGCACCCTTCTCTTAATAGACCTACTCATGGCCATGTAATCAATCATTACATTCAACCAGATGCATATCTTTTGTACAAACTAGACAATCATACCTAGAACTATTTAAACCTTCATTCTTACATGAATCATTAGCAGCTATCTTATTCTTTCGCTCTAAATAATGAAAAAAAAAAAAAAGTATTTATTTTACCAAACATACTTTCTTGTAAAAGTGACTGAGCAACGATTAATTAGAACCAGACAGCTAACGAAAACCAACAGTCAATCACTGACAACTAAAATTCCAATAATTCAAAATATGTGATTTGTAGAATGTGATATACGTACTACAAATTACATAACCCTCGATCACTAAACTATGATGTTCCAATCAAATGAAACTTGGGATAAAATATTGTCACATAGCAAAAAAATGACTGCCATAACACTGGGGAAACAGTCGATTCTCGGTTATCAGAAAACCAGTATCATCGTCAATATTTGACGGCAATCTATGGGGCACCCTTCTGCACACTAAAACCAAAATTTGCCCCGATGTCACGTAAAAAGATTTCTATTCAAAAGGGACCAAAAAAAAGTTACATTTCATCCCAAGGAGTAAATTTTAAAAACTTATATTTCGTTCAGGAAATATTTTTCTTCTGTTGCCGATAAGTATCACAGTTACTATAAATATATTAGCAAGCTTCGTTAAATGAAACACTTAATACGTTAAAAGTGCCTCTTAGATGCTCTCCATTTCCCAGAGAAAAGCACAAATATCCACCTGACATTCTCCATGTACTCATATTAGATTCTTCAGTTCACTGATTTGGACCTTCGACCAGAAACTCACCTTATTCGTCGACTTTACCGATGTTCTTCACCTGATACAGAGTATAAGGAGGCGCTGCTTTCTGAAACTCAGATTCACTACATGTTCTTAGTTAAAAGTGCTTAAAGTGTTAGTGTTTTGTACAGCGCAGCGAAAAAACTGGGAATAAAATCAAAATGACGAAAGTGTGCAATACTTACGGAGTAGCGCGTTGACTATAATCATTGGTTATAGTTTCGATTCCTCCCGCTTTAGCAACAGCAACATAGCAATTTTCATTGCCAAAATCAATTCCAACTGCAGACATGATGGAAGAAGACAGATACAAAAAAATAAACGAAAAAGGTAGAAATTACTTTTAATACAATGTTTTCGACAGTGTATTTGTTTACATTTAAATTCTACAAGACAGTATTACACGAGTTAAACGGCTTCGTTTCAAATTTACATTTATTTACATTATGAACAAGACCATGCCACCAAATATTCTAGAAACCAACGGGCAGAGGTAATTATGCCGGTTCGAGGATATAACTTTTTTTTTATAAATATAACCGAAAAAAATATTTTTAAAGGCAGTAAGTTTACTGATAATGAGAAGAATTTACTAAATAAAATAATTTTATAAAATACAAGATGAATTTCAGCAAAATTGCTCCAGTGTGTTTAAACACGAGGATAAAAGACTATTTTTGAATTTTTTATATCTCTTTTTTTATCTATTGGCAACATATTTCATACAAAACATTTACTTAAGCGGATTAATTGAAAGCTGTTTTGATGTTCGTTATTATCAAAGTTTATGTGTTTGAGATAAATGATATTGGAAATTAAAAAAATTTATTTATCCCTTCGCATTGTCGTTCACATATTGTACCTTTTATGTTTTGAGATTCAAATAAATGGTTCTATAGGCATTCTAATCAAACTTAAATAAATGTATGCAGAATGTTTATATGACTTTTAAACATGATCCACGGGAGAGACTATTATCCACCCTGGAAGCTGAAATTTTATAAATTCTGTGTATAGCTAATAGATATGATTTTATGAATTTTCAAAGATGTATGACAGAAAAATAGAATATCCAATTGGCAGTTGTATTGAGGCAAGTACCGTAACTATTTATGTTTTATGCAATTATATTCGAAAACCTGACGTTTACCTGTTCAATACCTGTATATGTTACGTTATGGAAGGATCTTAGATTTAAAATGTTGCTCTTTGCTGAATTTGCTTATTCTTATTTGATCATATATAAACATTATATTATCATAGCTGTATTTGATAAAACTACAGAAAATAATTGTCAATGTGTTTTCTTCTTAACTATGGCAGGTTGGTGCCAAATGAATTCTTTTAAAAGCTGAACACCATTAAAAAAAATTGAAGCATACTTGTACTCCTTTGTAACTAATTTTTCACTCAAATTAATAAACACCAATCTAGAATTTAAAAGGTACTTCTTGTTTATAGCAGCTGAGTTAAAACCCATCAAAATAATGATAAAACACCAAATTTTATAACTATATAAAATAGGTAATGTAGTTAATTATATAAAATAGGTAATCTTTTATTTATCTGATGAAGCATCATTATCACAACCATTTAGTAGGGTTCTACTTTACTGCTAAATTCAAAATTTTTTCACGTTCTCTCATAATAATAATTTTTGCATGAACAAGTCAGATTGTTTTCCGTGCATGCATTTTAATGCCTGTAAAACAAGAATACATTCTTGCACATTAAAAGTTATGTATTTCTTCTGACATTACGTGAAATAAATGCAGAAGGATTTTTGAATAAAGTAAAAATAAATAAAGTAAAAATCCTCATCAATTTGTTTTCCACTGTTAATCAAAATTTGAAGTTTTTTTTTTTTTTTTTTTTTTTTCAGTCATTTGGAAAATTAAGTTATGAAAAGTAAAACAAGTGATTACTGATATACACAAACAATTTTTGCAGTGTCTACAGCACACAGTTTATGTAATGTTTGTCGGCAATTTAAGGTGTTTTTCCGTTATGCACCTGCCGTGAAAAAGAAACCAAACACATGCTGGGACCTAATGATAGTGCCATCTGGGCTATTGTTGTGTGTGTTTATCTGTAAACTATTCTTGTACCTATAAATTGTTTTCAATTAAAAAAAAAACAGCAAATTATGCATAATGGAAAAGTATCTGTGTTAATATATATTAATTTACTGAACACAGTTTCCTGAGCAATTTTGTGTAAATAAAGAACATATAGAAATGTTTTCACAAATTCCTTAAAAGCAGGGGTTGTCAACCGCTGAAGAATTCTGAATTTCATAGTTTCGGGCGGTGTGTTTGTGTGGGAGGTGGAGAATGCAGTCAGTCTTTTATTTACCTGCTAAATGTTTAGTTTATGAATATAAAAAAAGCTACTTTTATTCAATTTTTGATATTAATCAACATTTTTTATACTTTTTCTTGTTTAATTTATAAAACATCAAAAACAAAGGGAAAATATATTTGAGGGTATCCCTTAGCGATTTTTTTGGCATCATTCTTGTTTACTTTCAGTGCTCGCCCAAGTAAAATAGCACCCGAAACATAATGCAATAAAACATTAAAAAATTATAGTCTCAGTAAATTGCACTTTAAATCAAAATAAAGCAAAGATATAACATTAAAATGGGAATACATATTATCTAATCTGTGTGGTACAAAAAGGAAATATCGACTTACCTTATTTAGAAATTTCTGTGTCTTCAGTGTGTTGCACACAGAATTCCTTCACAGCATCCAAAACCTGTTTAAAATTATCTGAACTAGAATCTGTATACTGCTGTCACCACATAAATTCACAAAAGTAAAAATAAAAAATATCTGGATTGTCGGTGGCATTTCTGTTGAAAATCCCTTTTTATTGCATCCAAATACCTTGCATAGTCTTGATATGAGCTATGTTTTCCAAATCCTTAAATTACACTGCATAATTTACTGAGAGAGGAATGAAGCCATTTAAATTTTCATTTACACACCAGCCAACCAGTTTTTTCTTTCCCATTCATTCCAAAGCATACAGAAACTTCAGGTTAAATTTTGCAATAAAAAGTCAAAATCACCACAGTTACTCATTGCAACCAATCATGCCATAATATGGTTTCCATAACATTCAACATAAAATATTCAGCTTACCATAAATGAAACAACAGCTTGGCGATAATCCAAAGGGTACCCTAAAATATAGACTACCCAAAAATAATCGGCTAATCTTTGGAATATGGTAACAGGTAGTTTGGCGACATTTTGGTAAGGCGATAAAAGTTACTAGCTAGGACTTTAACAGTGTACATGGATAAAGTCGAGTGTGCGCAGTGCCATTTTTGTGCAATTCTGGGATTTTTTTTTAAGTGAAAATAGGTCGACGTGTACATGGATACCATGTATGTGCAATTCTTAAAAACGTGGCAAGCAGTGGGCGATTCTGCACTTTCTCCCAATTTCGCACCTAAGCACCTAATCTTTGTCATGATTAAGCACTTTTGTTCCTTAAAAAAAAAAAAGAACATGCCTTTACTTTGTGAAAACAAAATGGCGTCCACAAAAAAAACTAGCAGGTTGCTGTAGCAAGGTTGGTCGCCAAAAAATTGCCAAGTTACCATCATCCAAAGATTAACCAAATAATCTAATTTTAAATACATGTATATGTATTTTTCGAATTGTGGAAAAGCTGGTGGGGAGATTATCATCTAGCAATATTGAAAAGGGTGCATGGTATCAAAAAAAGGTTGAGAATCACTGTTTTAGAGGGTGAAATACCTTTTTCTTAGATGGGGGGGGGACTATAATATCTTTTTCATTGATGAAAGATTTAAATATCTGGTAATGAAAAAATAAGGATTTTTGCTGGCTTAAGAAACATGAACTAAACATAAACTTTTGCTGGCTTAAGAAACTTTTTGTGCAGATCGGTAACTATTTCTTGGAAAAGCTAAAATGTACTAGTTCTTGTTTCTCACCAAGCCTATTTAAAATTTGGCAAAAAAGCAACCATAGTTTGGTACACATGCTGAATAAATTTGTATTCGTTTTGAGGTGATCCAATGCAAGTACACTTCTTCAGAAGTAAAAATAGGAAGAGTAGGATTATTGAGTTATAACAAAGTAGTCGAGGGAAGAATGGCTTAATGAAGGCCTTCAGAGGAAAATTGGCTTGTATTCTAGTTAGACATGAAGAAAATTCCCATACATTTAGCTCTTGCCAGGATTTGAACTGGGGTCAAACGACCAGTATTCAGTGATCATAGAGCTTACTTGCTGGTAGGTGCAAAAACGGGAGGAGGAATGACCATTTTGTTTCTAAAGTAATGGGGAAGTAAAGTAAAAATGAACCTAGAACTATCCAGCAAGGAAAATAGTAATGTAACAGGAAAAATGAATGTACTAGAATTCTAAAAGCTTTAGGGAGAACTGAATTGGAATAATTACCAATAGTTAAAGAAGATAAACTTTTATTACATTGAAAAACTTTAATTAAATCTTATTCTTTGACAGAAAAAGCTTTATGGATAATTTTTGCACAACCTGAGTCAAAACTGAGATTAAATGCCCAGTTATAAAAATAAATAAAAATGTGTAAATCAAACTTCTCATTTTACTTGTCAATAGTCTCTTTTATTCTTAATTTAAATTTGGGTAGTTCCCCTTTCTGTCCTAAAAAGAGTACCTGTTCATAATGTGTCATTCTAAAGTGTGCCAGTCCAAAATTAATCCTTTTCATGCTACCTTGTGTATGCAGATGCATTTTATCCAACCATTTATAGATGAAACTGACTCTATATTTCACCCTTATTCTGAATATGTAGTCTTTTTTTTTTTTTTTCTTCTTTGCTTCGTTCTGGCTAACACACATCCCTGTTCACTTCTGCTTATCATCCATTTTCTGAAGATTTGAGCTTAGAGAAATGCAGGTGCATATTGTGCTGATAATGATGTGGGTATCAAATTGCACATTTCAAGAATTACATTATCCAATAATAAAATTACGTGAATCAATGACAATGTCTTCAAATGTCATTATTCCATTTATGCAGAAAAACCTTTCCACGTTATATGTATGCAATAAACCATTTCCAATATATTACAGATAAATCTGATTCTAACTGGAATGCAGTAATCATTAATAAATCATCTCCCGGCGAGTGAAGAAAGCACTGATATTCTCTCCTGCTTCATACCAGATCCTTGGACAATGACCCAGAAATACTTTTCTTATTTCCTGACTAATGTCTAGAAGTTTTCCATTGCCTTGACCCTTTGATTATTGATATCACCAACATTTTCTCTCATCTGCTGCATTGACTCTACCTTCTCTTCATCTTCTACAAGAAATGATTATTACTACTTCATGAAATGCTTCAATGTTTAAAAAGAGACTATGAAAGAGATAGAGATTGAGGTATGCAGACTAGATGCCCTTTGTCCAGTATTGCTTTGTTCAAGGATATACTTTACTTCTCTTATTCTTTGCAAAAGCATTTTTGCGTTTGAAAAAGAATCCGGCTTCTAATCACTCTTTAAATCAGTAAAGTTTTATTCAAAACCTTTATCTAGCTAATATAGCTTTTTTGCCTAAATTTAATTTATTGCTTATAACCTTAGTTAACCATGGCTTGGTTAACTTAAGTTATTAGTTTTCTTTAATTTAACTACAGATATGGGGTGAATATTATTAAAATATTACTATTATATTTTTTCCTATAGTTTAAGTAAATTGAGACTAATTTTTAGAGGCATAATTTTTATGCAACATTTAAGAACAGTATCTTCAGTAGTTTGAATAAAAATATCCAAAAGTAAATAAATTAAGCTTTAAATCTTCATTTAAAAATGTTATATTTCTGTCATTAACTGATCTCTTAAAAAATTGGTACTTATGTGTATAAATGCAACTGCCTTGGCAGAAGTTGCCAAATTTTTAGAATGTGCCAAACTCTCGCAACCTTGCGCTTAACCATTCTTCTAGAAACCATGTTCATAACGGTCCTTCAGTCAAGCAATGTGGCCATTTTTTGTGCATTCTTTTTTGCTGTATTCCAAATTCCAACAGTTTTTATAAATAAATCGGGATATTTTTTGGGGGGGCCTTAGTTTTAAAATACGAGCTTGTGGAATTTGCCAGCAGTGGAAGAAACTGCAGTAACATTTCTGCAAGAATGCAGAATTTAGCTGAAAATTGTTTGTGGGAAACAGCAAAGAAATTGATTTCCTCAGTGGTGGATGTTGCTGACGATTGCATAAAACTGACTTTCTGCAATCTGGGAAATTTTTGAAGCAAAAACAGATTGCTGTCTATTTCAAGATAATTGTGCAAAAAATTACAGAATGGTTTGTGTAAGTGTTTTATTTTTAATGTATTATGTGATTCATATTTAATAACTGAAATTTGTATTCTAAACTGGCAAAGTATGTTTACTGACTTATGATAAATATTGATAGTTTGGGAATCTTTCAAAAAGCACAAAAACCATCAACTTGCCCCCCGATAAGTAACTTGTACCTTTTCATCTGTAAAAAGTCATCAAATTACAAATGTCTACAAACATGAAGAGAAGTCTTAAACTTGCTTTATTTGAAAGACTAGCAATTAAAAAAAAGTTTGAAAATCTAGGAAGTAAAATTAATTGTACAGTACAAAGTCAGAGATCCAGACACATCAGGACTTCAATGATTCTGGCTTTGGTATTTTTCTGAATATTAGATCATTAGTTTAAATAAGATAATATTCAGAAATTATAGAATTAAAAATGTGAAATAGTGATTTATGAAATGATAAAGCATTTATGACCTTAAGGAGATCAAAATTTATAAAAAGAAAAGCTCAATATTTATTATTTGCTTTATTAACCCATTAACCGCCCAAAAAAGAAAAAGTTTATTCTTTACCTCATCATTCTTTACCTCAAAAAGAAATGTAGTAGTCACTTGATAAGGACATTTCTGTTCCTATTGTACGAGAATCGATATCACGTTTGCAGTACAGGAATATGAACTTCAAGGAATGATTCCTTTCTCATGAAAATAATAACAAATATTAAATTAAGCATTTATAACATAAATTTACATTGAAAATAAATAAAAAAAAATGCTCTTACCTGTGGAAAAAGTCATCAAGCATAATTAATGTTGGCATAAAAGATTATCATGCTGTTTACTGATATTAAAAGAAAAATTTTTTAGGCATCACTGCATGAGACATTTCTCAAGCTGAAGTGTGCTGATAGTCATGCTGTGGTGAAAGCCAAAAGTAATCATGATTTGCCTGCTTGGCTTCAGTGTTGAATTAAAATTAATAATTGGGAAGTCCTATTTTATTATGAAAAAATAACAGATTCACAAATGTACAGCAACATAAAAAGAAAAAGGTTGTTGTCTAGAGGTCTGAATTTTAGACCATTTTGAATATTGAACATCCAGATTGTGGACTCTATACTGTATAAATTTTCTACTGTAGTGAAATGTAGAGTATTTTACATTTAGTGTCAACAGCAGAATAATTTAATAGGCTACTGTTTGCTAAATATTAATCTTGTTTTTAAGAAATGATTTCAAAAAGAATTTTTTGAAAACTGTAACTATTATAGTATGTTTATCATTATGCCAGTAAGATTTATAACTTCTTTATTTCACAGGATTTTGAAATCGTATCTCAGATTGGAAAAGGTGGATTTGCTACAGTGTACAAGGCAAAGTGTTTGAACCCTGGATTTGATGACGTCTGTGTTGCTATTAAAAAGGTAAATTTTGTACTTTATTCTGACAGTCAGTATCCAAAAGAAAAGTTATGAACTCATTGGTGATTTCAGAAAGCATTCAGGAACTTTGTGCATTAAATTAGAAAAGAAATTATTTGGCAACTAATTTTTTCCCAAGTTAATGCACAAAACACAGCAGCCATTTTCTAAATAGCAGCGCAATAAGAATTCTATACCAGAGTAATTAATTAATAAAATTTTAAAAATACATATTTGTAATGAAACACTTCCCATTTTTAAGAAATCCCCCTTTCCCCCCACTGTTGTTCTTCCCATGTACACAATGATCTTTTTTCACTTTTAAGAAAAAGTCAGAGAATTGCACAAGCACACTGCATTGCATAGCACACTAGCCAAAACAGGCATGTGCCACGCATATACCTTTGTTGCCATATAAATACTTTTTGGCTTCATCATTTCTTTCCTTATAATTATTTTGATGGTATACTTTGCTTCGTGAATATTTTTCACGACTTTTCAGCAGAGGTGCAGATAATTAGAAAGTACTGTAAATTTTAATGACTTTTTAAAATCAGATGAAATTGTTTTCATTATGAAATGTAAATAATATTTTTAAAAATTACATCTTGGGCAAATAGGAAGTAATGTGCCGTTATATCTCCAAATTTCCTCCAAATTTAGGCATAGTAATATGTAGGAGCATATATATCTGTGCATCATAATATCTATGTGCTATATCTCTCTAACATTTGTATTTTATATAATAGTATCCATGCTGCGTACCTATGAATTAAATTAGGTTAATTAATTAAAGCATATAAATAAAGCTTACAGGGACTAGCTGCTTAATGGGAGATATGCCTTAACGAAGCACGTTTTAAAGGAACTAGCTCATATGCATATAACATATGAGAAAAACTATGAAAATCCCCCTGAAGCAATATTATTTGCTGGGATTTGAACCGAAGTCAACTCCCAGTGTTCAGTGATCTTTCCCTCTCAGCCACTGGTGGGACACTAATACAAATAAGGCCCATAAGTAAGAGTTATTACAGTAATTTCCCAAACATGAACAATGTTCATAACAGTTGCAAACTATGCATCTTTGGTTTCAGGTCCTTTACTTACATATCATACAGATGTACAATTTTGTAAATAAGTAATATTTCTTATTGTTTTAAATTATTTTTAATGCTGATACGTTTTAGACACTAATGTTGAATAAAATTTAAGCAAAGAAGAATAGAAACAATATTTCACACATTCTTTTAATATAAGTTATTCTTATAAATTACTTGAAAATAAAATATGGATAGCTGTTTTAATACATTAATACATTAATGTTTTTCAGAGGAATCAGTTTTCTATAAGAAATCTGTATCTTTTTTTTTTATAATTTCATAGAATTCATCACTTCCTTGTGCTTCAAGACTTTTTTTTGTCATTGAAGTTTTATATTTTTCAAAAGGCTACACCATTTCCCAAAAAAATTTAAAGCTTGTTATTAATAGATAGGGCTGATTATTTGCTCAATAGAATTTCAAAAATTCTTTGAATAATTTAATATTAGAGAATGAAAAATAAAGTTCCAGTTGACCATGTTAAAAAAAAAACACTTTTGCATAGTAGAATAGACTTAAATAGAATAGAAATATCGTATAAATATGTAACAATACTATTTCATATGGTACTTTATGATTATTCATGTCCTCACTGAAATGTTACAGATTGACTGTTGACTTCAGAGAAAACTGTTTGGGTATTTTTATGTCTATTTTAAAATTTTTTCTTTTTCCATAGAAGGCACACATGCTTCTCTCTCACATCTGCTCTCCTTTTTTTTTTTTTTTTTTTTCTTTTTGCTGTCTTATTTATTCAATGTAAACAGCAACCTGTTTTTACTATTAAAAAAAATTTGGAGAATTGCACAAACTCAAGATCGTATGCAGTCTTTGCATTGTGCACCAACAATGATCATGATCATGCAAGAGTAGTTGAAACTTCGTTGCACACAATTTATGACAAAAGCAAATATGCTCATTATAAAAATAAGTACTAAGCAGAACTATAACCATTGAATTTCAAAAGGGCAAATCTATGCTTGCTTAAACATGCATGTATTATGCACATATTTGAGTTACCACATAAATACTTTTGGCAAAATTGTGGGTTGCCACAACTCATCAGTACTTTCTCACTGTTTTTTGGTGGGGGTGCAGGTAATCAGAAAGTAATAGATCATCTGTAAGGTTCCATGGTTTTTCAAACTGAAGCATGTTTTCTTGTAATTATTTTGTTAGTCCTAATAAGTAATGATATTGTTTGAAGTGGATGTTTAGATACTATATTTTTGCTCATGTTGTATAATTCTAGCATATGTTGTGACATAATCTTTGTTTATGTGCAGTGCTTGAATCAAGAACCCAAAAGTTCATTTTCATCAGATTATGTTTTTTAATTTTAAAAAAGGAAACAATGCTACTTAGATTTTTTGTAAAGTTTATGCCTTATGGATGAAGTTCTGTTTCTGATGATACATTTTGAAGGCAGTATGAGAAGTGTAGAAATTTCTACCTCAAAGATAATACCCACTTTAGACGACCATCCACCATAAAGAAATACCTATTAACATAAGCTGTCTCTGAAAATCCATGTTGTACAATTCGTGAACTATCAGACTGTATAAATATTCCAAACAGTACAGTACCTGATCGTTTTAAGAAGTCTGGAGATGTAAGCTGCTATAATATATGGACACCCAATACTTCAACAAAGCAGGATATGCTTGCTCAAATTTCGACATGGGATTATTTGCTGAAAAGAAATAAAGGTGTTTTTTTTAAAAAAACAACTCAGTACTGAAGATGATAAGTGGATGCTACTAAGGTACTGTTCTGTTGTTGGGACCAGAGTCATTGGCGAATTTGCTAAACTTGCCAAGAAATTGGTTCATGTGAAATCACCAATTCTTTTTACCATTTAAAAAAAAGGTAAAAAGAATGTTTTTTCAAAGTTGTCAATGAGAATACAAATTCTAAAAATTTGAGGTTTGCTGGCTTTCCAAAGGTGCCTGCCTTAATAGGTTCTAGAATCTTTTTAACTCTGTACTTGAGTTCCTCAAAGAGAAAAATGTAGCTCTGAAAGACAAATTGCTACAATTTAAGATTGATGTTGCTTACATGACCAATTTATTCGCAAAATTCATTGGAATTAATTTCCAGTTCAAGGCAAAGAGTTCAGTTTGATCACAGCAAAATCTGTTATTTCCGTCTTCCTAAAAAAACTCACTTTGTGGAAGCAGAATTTTGGTCACAATGAGTTCGGTCAGTTTCCAATCTTGTCTGATCTGCATAAGAGCAGTGAAACCCATTTGATGGAAAACATGTTTACTGTCAACACCTTTAGTCTTTGTACAAGGACTTTTCTGAGCGGTTTGAGGATATTTTGTCCCAGAAAGTCCCTCAGTGGGTCATGAAACCTTTAATGAATACTGAGACAGCAGAGGTTCAGCTTCAGGAGGAAATGGTCGAATTTTCAACTAATGAAACATTGAAAGCCAGTTTCCAGATTGGTGATTGTCTCACAGAATTTTAGCTTCAAAGTATCATCAGTCGCCTCCAACCATGATTGTGGAATATCGTCAAAAATTTTTTAATTGATTTCCCTTCCTTCCACCTTGTCAAGCGAGGAATCAACACTGTGACTGATCTAATTACAAAAAAGAGTGGTCGACTTTTAAGTTGTGGGAAGAGGGAACATGCACCTTCATCTCTCTAAAAGTATTGAACAAAACTTTCAGAAACTATCTATGAACCATTAACCCTCTGCATATGGCTCCTGCAATTTACACGGGATACAAAATCTGTCTCGTAATATGGGTTGCATGAAAATAGCATGCACAAGTATGTTTTTTTATTTAATTAAGGAAAAACTATTAAAATTTATTAAATTATTTGTTTATAAAGATGTAAATATTAATATATGAAGATGAAGAATATAAAAAAGGGCCCGTATTTCAGAACTGAATTTGTCCAAATCGAACTGTACACGGAGGGTTAAGCACAGCCATTCCACTGATCATACTTGATTGTTTCATTGATATTACTCTTTTAGTGTTTTTTTTTCCTGTTCTTTTTTAATTATTTAGTTAAGAATAAAGTATTTTTAAACATAAATCATCGCTTAAGCAATTTTTTCCTGGGATTAGTCATTTCAGTTTAACAAAAGGAGCATAATTACATGCCAGGCAAAACTATTGAGTGAAATCAAACAAATTTGGTGTGTAAGTCTGAAAAAAAAAATCACTTAGAATTTTTGTCTTTTATAATTCAGGAACCCATTTCCCCAATAACTAAATTACAGATTTTCACGAAGGGGGGCATCGAAAAATTTTTCGCACCTTAGGGAAACGGAGCTTTGAAAAGGTTGCAAATCACTGATCTAAACCATCAGTTAAAATACGCAGCACTGGTAACATTGTTGAAGTTGACAAAAGTCTGTTTTTGCATCGAAAAAGCAACATTGATTGCATCCTTCTACCCCAGTGGGTATGCAGCAGGTTTTACCAATAAACAGCACAACATTTTTAGTTGCTGTGCCAGAAACTTTGCTTAAAGTTTTTGAAGAAATTATTATTGATGGCACTATAATATGGAAAGGGTGTAACACTGAAGAATAAAATGAGGCCGTGTTTGAACATTTCTGCATTCACCCTTTAATTGCTTAAGACGTGTTTAAATGTTTTCAGAGTTTCCTTGAAAAACGCTTTAGATGTCTTTACACGAATTTAAAATCGCTCGAAAAATGTTTAAGACGTGTATAAACGAAGCCCAAATTTGTCAAAATTGCTTAAGACGTGTTTAGACGATGCGCTCTGGTGTTCTTTCCCCTACCTTTCTGCAGGTGGCTGTCAGTTGACACAAAGTCTTAATAGGGTGTGAAGTCTCTTTGAAAAGAGCACTTTAGGAAAAGTCCTTAGAGTGAAGTATCATTGTCAGACAGCAGGTATGTATTATCTGTGT